TATATATATATATATATATATATATATATATATATATATATATATATTAAAGTGAGAGCGTCGAACGCACTCTCATAATCTCTGATTACTATTAGTATACTGATTTTCTTGAAGACCAACTGTACTGACAGACAGGCAGACAGACCTACTGACTGACAGACAGACAGACAGACAGGTGAGCAGGAAGATACATATAGACAGGCAGATGGACAGACAGACAGACAGACAGGTGTGCAGGAAGATAGACAGACAGACAGGCAGGCAGGCAGGTAGACAGACAAATGGTGAATGTCTTTCTTTTAAAATATTGTTAGCCCTAATAAGGTCAAAGTTTAATGCCTAAAAATTTGTTCTTTTTTGTTGTGTAATTAGAAGCAGAGAAATGTAAAATTCCAAATGACTGGTTGTTTCCATTTTGTGAAGCAAAAGTAACAGTAAGTAAAAACTTGTAAATTTTGTATACAGTTAACTGTTCATAATATTCTGAATCAGGTTTATTTGTTGGTTAGCTGAGTACCACAGACTGTTCTAAGGTACCTTTCATCACCAAGGGATGTTTATAAAATTTTATGAGTACCAGCCGATCAATAATTTTTATTGTAATGGCAGCTTCACTGTTCCTAACACTGCATGGTACTAATCTACTGTTAATGCCAACTTTCCAAAATCACCCAAATAGTCAGACTGAATCACCTGGCCTGATGTGCTAGTCAGTGAATCTCACAGATACGTGTACAAAGGATAGTGTTTAGAGTACAATTATTTTCACACATATTTTTGTCAATTTTGAGACATTTTGTGGGATAATTGAGGAGCTTATTATAATTACATCATAATGTTAAAATCAACAGAATTCAATTAATGCACATGTATGTGTTTAGGGGTTGAAAGAACTGAAATCGAAGAAGTCCCGGATTTAGATTTTTTCATCCCCTTGAACTGATTTAGATTGGTATATATTTATGTTACCCTATTTTCAGTGTGCACTGTAACAGTTATATGTAGGTTTATATTGTGTGGTTCCAGAAAATAACCATACAGTCGGGTCTGTGCACCTCGACCAAGGATGGTTATTTGGTTTGTACGCAATGTACCTCCATGTCATGATCAACCTTGGTGTGGGAGAGGTTGTTTTCTGGACCCACACTTTAACTAATATTGACAAAATATACTTCAAATTCTAGTGGAATCATTTTCTGTTGATTGCACCTTTGTAAAATCCCTGATGGTTAATGTAGACCATTTGTAGGACAGAATAATCTAGGATACAGTTGACATTGTTTCGCTCTCCTTGTTATTTTCAGTGGATGCAGCAATTATGGGAAACAAATAAAGATTGTTATGTCGGAAGACACAAACTTCAGCCTGAGAGTATATGCTCCATCCTCATTTACCTTAGTGAGGTACGTGCGCAAATTGTCTTGCATGTTAAATTACAGATGACAACTTGTCTAGTGACACGTGTAAACACTAGGAGTTCTCATACAGTGTCCTCAAAACTACTCATCGACAACCCCTCTGACTAAGGGATGCTGTGGTTCACAAGCACAGTTTCAAACATTCTAAAACAGCACAAGAATATCAGTCGAGCTACTGTCTAACAGTTTACATGCCATGACCCAGTGTTGTAATGAAACTTGTTTCTCAGGTGAAACCTCTAGGCAAGGCAGTGGAGAAACTGAGAGCATGAGAATGGAGCTTTTCGAAAATACTCTCCCAGTCGGAGCAATCTGAAACGCTGGCCAGTTTGCATATTAGTGTGGGTGGAAAAAAAAATAGGAAAATTGTTCCAGCGTAGCCTTTTTAAGAATGACATTGCAATCATCAATGATTACGTGATTTCCCTGCCTAAGTCTCCCCCAAGCACAAATCCAGAATGGCCAGTGTTTGTTGCATTTTCAAGTTTCTCTGGTTTAGACTGTGGACAAAAACATTTGATGCAATTTCATAGTCAAAACATCGTTTTCAAATTACTCCGGCATGTTTTGGACAGGGCCGTTAAGTGTTAATGTTGACGTGTCTTTCAGTTGATTTGTAATACAAAACAAAATATTGATATTATTTCATGTACGTGTGAATAAAATTCCTATTTTGCCCCATAGGTGGAGAACTTTTGTCCAGTCCTACCATGGCGACGGAACAACACTACAAAAGTTAGACAGCATAAGGTTTGGAAGTTAAATTGTTTGTACTCATGACACTTTTAATTTGAACAATGACTTTCAATTCTTTGTTCACATTGTTACAAGGCTGAATTAGATACAGTTATCCTAAGGTCAGATCTTATCAACTTCGCTATTAAGCCGCTCATGATGTGGAAGTTAAGGGACATATTAATTACTGATGAGTTCATTGTTCTCCAGAATTAGTAATATTATTGTTATTGCGTAAAATAGATTTCTCACACACCACTGCCATGTCAAGCTGACTGCCTCCACCTGACCTTTATTGCAAAATTAAAACTAATATAACTAGCATTACGTGAAAGAGTGGAAATAACGAAAAAAGTTCGAAGCTTGTACATTATACTGATATTGTATAAAAACTTAAAATCTTTGGGCGGGTAGGCACGAAAGTCGGCAATGGTGGACAGAACAAAAACAACTGTCCGCCCCATTGGTCACATGAGTCAGCTATACCCAGCCCCAGCGGCGTGTGAGAAAAACATTTTTCACTTATTTCGTTTCACTCAGCCAGTGAAAAATTACTCTTTTTCATAAAAATGAGTTAAGATTACTATTTTTATTACGAATTTTATCTTCTCAGCTAGCAACAATGAGATTTGAATTAGATAGCGCCTTCATCAACACTTTAAACAAGCTCAATCTACGCTGGATGCGAGACCGTATTACAAGAATGTGGCCTCAGTGGGTAACAGCCGCCAAACAATTTGCAGCAGAAGGAAATATCCGTAGACAACATCAAGCCAAAAAGGTACACTGCGGTGTCTTGTTATAAAATGTCATGTTTTGCTTATCAGTTCCTACAGTTTTTTAGCCTGCGAGTAGGCTTTAATGCGTTGCGGCAGGAGCAAAGTCAATGAGCAAAATCGCGAGCGATGAGTCAGGGAGCGAAGCAAGCCGGTGAGGGGCCTGGCACGAGAAGTGATTCTCACCGGCTTCCTTCGCTCGCCTACTCTGCTTCGTTCGCCAACGGCTTTACTCGTGCCACCAACGATGAGACTCTGCTCGAAGGCTAACAGTTTTCTTACAGTGAGGACACTGGCAAACCGTAAACACTGGACAATTTTTTGCACATTCAGTTCATGGATTCATTTTTACATTTATTTGTACAATCATGTTCACTTATGGCTCAGTCCACACTACGCCAGAGAAATTTGAAAACGCAGCTTTATTTCTACGGTTAGGCCTACCGTCCACACTAATCCGTCACGAAAACGGAGCTTTTCGAAAGCGCTCTTCAATCCGGAGGAATTTGAAAACGCCGGCTTTTCGTTTTAGTGTGGACGGAAAACATTTTAAAAATGGAGCTTCTCGAAAACGATGACGTTTTGACATTTCCCTGCCAGAGTTTTCCTCAAACACAAAACTGAAATAACCTTTGATTGTTGCGTTTTCAATTCTCTCCGGGGTAGTGTGGAAGCCGGGTTAGTGTGGACGCCGGGCCCTTAGATGTGCTTTTTCAGGGATCTGCTATGGGCTGTATTGCAAACCCCTGCTTTCGTGAACTGTTTTTGTTTCCCTGTCCGAGATAGTAGGGTTAAACTGTACAGTAGATGTTGATTAATCATTGATTTCAATCTCTTTTACCAGATTTTTATTTTCTTTGGTACCTATGCTTTTCAACCCAACTGGCTTAATCTGGCGTATCATGGCGCTCCTCTTGGAGAGATGGTCCAATGGAGTGACGTGCTAGCCGCTTTGTACATCCTGGGCCATGATTTGACGCTCTCCGTCAATGCTACCACATATAAAAAGTAAGGGCTGTTTTGAACAATATTACATACTTGTAGTTGAGGTCATCGCTATGTATTTTCTGTCTTCCTGTATGATAGCTCTAAAGTTCCGGCCGTTTTCTGGAGCCTTACCCTTCCAAGTTGACTGAATCTCTTCAAGTTAGCAGAAAGAACCGAGGTTCTAATACAGTGTTGTATGGTCGTAACGTCACTTCAGGAACAACGCTTCTTGTGAGGGGAAAACTTTTTCTCGTGGAGCTTTGTAATGAAAGTCATACCATTGAAACCTTTTGGATGTTAAGTTAACTGCTGACGACGGCAATGGCGATTGATAAGAACGTCAAATGCTGAACCTAAGAAGTAATTGTGTGGGTCTTAATTTTTTTTTCCTGCAGCCACCTGTCAGTTCCAAAGGTCAAGTCTTGTGCGGATGTGTTCACACCAGAGTTTGATGCTATTTACACAGACTACAATGGATTAACTTACATGAACATAAACATGCCACCCAATATGTCCCCATACAGGTACTTGCTAGTGTGAACGCGTGCTCGATTCTTGTCTTGCATTAAAGAAATACACTGTACATGAAGTTTGGCTGAATCTGGTCAATAGATCACGCTTCCTGCCAGCTGAATACGCCATCTCGGCCCGACTACCGAGACTTCGGATTAGCTGTGTCGGGTTGTCACGATCCGAGTCCGATCGTCACGATCCGTCGAAATAGTCAACAGTCCCTCTATTTTTGACTATCTGACTTCTGATAAGGCGAGTCGACTCGACGAAGAGTGGACTCGACTCACGAGCTAAGGTCGGTGTATTAGATATGCGTGTGAAATTGGCTTACAAGGTGGATGATAAAATTTCCTTGAAAACTGAAATTGTTTCACTTAAAGCTAAGGCCCCGTCCACGCTAGACGTGAGAAATTTGAAAACGAAACTTTATTTCTATGTCTAGGTGTACCGTCCACACTAATTCATCAAGAAAACTGAGCTTTTCGAAAACGCTCTTCAAACCGGAGGAATTTGAAAACGCCCGGTCTTCGTTTTCGTGTGGACGAAAACATGTTGAAAACGGAGCTTTTCAAAAACAATGGCGTCACGAGAATCATGTAATTTCCCTGACCGAGGTTTCCTTAAACATAAATTCATTTGAAGTGATCGGTGATTGTTGGGTTTTTAAATTCCTCGGACATAGTGTGGACGGAAAACATTTGATGCGTTTTCAAAGAGATACCTCCGCTTTCAAATTCTTCAGGCTTTGTGTGGACGGAGCCTCAAGTATTCGTAACGACGCTTGGAAAGTTTTGCTGAGTGAATTTCTTGTGGACGTCTTTTTTTTTTATCTCCATCGCACTTGTGTTTAGGTGCCGTATCCGGATTCTGGATTCTTTTGGAACTGATCCGGAGTTTAACTATGGTGCATATAGGGGTTTGGTACCCGGCGGCAAGTCAGCATGGGCAAAAGCTGACCTACACTTGAGACAGATATTCACAATGTTTCGTAAGTACATACAGGTGGCTATTTAGATATGAACCCCTCCTTACAAATTCCTTCATAATTAATACACCTTACGCTTACACTTCACTTAATCCCAGAGAAACCAGTGCTGAACAATTGCCTCCATTCTACGAAAACTCAGGTTATTAGTTGTCTGTACGAAAAAGGTTTGACGGTCATCATTTGTCCGTTCTTCTAATGGAGAGCTGAGCTGTAGGGCAGTAGGCTCTCTGCTATCCTGTCCTCTGCAGCCGATGCTGCTTCTGCCAGCCAAACAGCGCTAAACAGCGTGAAATCTGGGTACCAGATTGTGCTTCCCCGTGAAGGCTAAATAATGGAGTACCACCTTCAGAGTTCGTTTCTTTATTACATGAGGCATATAGGTGTAGGGTGTTAGGGTTCTTCCTCCGTCCTCCTGTCTACTAGTCCATCCATTCGCTTTTCGTTCGTTCACTCGTTCGTGTGTTTCGTTCCTTCGTTTATTTCTTCGTTCGTTTTGTTCGTTCGTTCGCGCGCTCGCTCTTTTGTTCGTTCGTTTGTTCGTTCATTCGTTCGTTCGTTTGTTCGTATGTTTGGTTCGCTCGTTCATTCGCTCGTTCGTTCGTTTGTTCGTTCGCTTGGTCGGTCGGACGGACGTTTTCTTCGTTCGTTCTTTTGTTCGATCTTTTCAGTCATTACATTCTTCCTCTTATCAACTATACTTACTTACTTACTTACAACACTCTGACCTTCTTTTTTGCATTCATCACACAGCCCACAGTCCAGATAACTCGTTCCTGGGTTTTGTGGTCAGCGGACCCGTTCCAGAAGATGTTAAACCTCCAAAGAAGAAACCGATTGGACTAGTTTATGGAAAAGACGTCGAGTTTTGGGCGGTAAAGATTTTAAATAACATTGTATTGTCTTAAAGGAGCTCAGTCACAGTGTTTCGTCTTTTTTTTTTTTTTTTTAAACGTATTTTGTAGATGGCTATTTACCTTGATGTAGTAAATCCACATCGTGTTCCGTCAAAAGCACAGTAATCTGTCGCTGCCCTTGCAACNTACAAAATCTCCTTTAAGTGGAAGGAAACCTGAAAATAGTAGTTTACTAAGATAGAAAATCATCAGAGAGATAATAATAAACCATAAAGGAACAAGGATGGTCAAGGATGGTGAAGATTAACACGGATCACAAACGACGAATTTGAAAAATTTAGGCTAAACTTTTCAAAATAAGCAAACCGTGACTGAGCTCCTTTAAGGCTAGTTGTTATCTTGAGGATCGTAGCGATCGTCCTGTGCACGACCTTTGCGCCTGAAATTTTAATTGACCAATCAGGGTTTAGCAGGCGAGAAAACTGTACTGTCCGGACGTCAATGTATGTTAACAGGAAAGGCATTGAAGTCCGGCAACTTTCTCACTGGAGACAGTATTGAGTATTCACGAAAAGGGACTTTTATTTCTAAAAACCAGATGAGATTGTAAAATGTGAAAAACACGAAACATTTTGTGTTTCCAAGCTTTTAATCTGGCGCTAAAATTATTCGCCCGCGTCCAGCAATTCGCTTGTCGCTCATTGAGAGTCGCCAGGCAGGATAAAAGTTGTGTAATTTTAAACAAAATATGTTGTTTCTCGTCAAATTAAACGCAGAATTGTCGAGTTAAGTATTGAATGAGGCCATTAAGCAACTTTAGCATTGTCTTTAGTTCTGTGACTGTTTCTCGCACTGCGGGCGCAGCCACCGTATGCAAGGCGTAGCAATGATATGAAAAGTAGCCTCTAGAGTAATTGTCAGAGTTGAGTGCACAGGAAAATTTTCTTAAGCCATCTGTCAGCAGCCATTCTTTTGGCTTATCATACACTACTTGTCATTCTCAATTTGGCGGGATATCTATCATTACTGAAGTATTATGGTATGGTATGCTTACTTCTGTCTTGTATTTGTTGCAGGGAAAAAGTAAATATCTTGACACGTTGCATAAATATTTGGAGATACATGGCACATTTTTTGGAGTAAAGGTACTTGGACGTTTGTTGAGCTCGATTTATTATTTGAAACTAAAACCTAACCAACAAACAAAGAACTGAGTGGAAGTAAAACAAACAAATGTGACAGCCCTATTGGCTCATCGACGATGGACAATTTCTTCATGTAAAGTGTCTGTGAGGTGAATTACAAGTACATATTTTTTAGTTCTCGAAGTCGGACCCAATCTCTTCTCCAATGGTTTGGAATCGGTACGTGTTGGGGGCCTGAGTCGCCGTTAGTACCTTCAGGTCTAGACAGTCTCCCTGTTGTTTTAATATGATTTTCTCCTTGCCTTGTCTGTATTTGTTTGTTTGTTTGTTTGTTTGTCTATTTTGATATTTGTTTTTTGGCTGAACGAATAAATGCAGCGACTTCTTGTCAGTCTGAAGTCGAAATTTATGACTCGAAAGTCAAGTCAATGTGTTGCTGTCGGAAGCAAAAGCTAAGATATTTTAGTGAGATTTAAGTGACCCTTTCATATGGCTACTGGTACGTGTTACTCACTATCCTATAGCGATAATACGTGTAGGAGCAGACATACAAATACATGTAAAGATATTGTTTTCTATTAACTTTTTAGGAGGAGAGTATAAAAAAGAATGTCCCCGACTACGTCATAGCACATGGCATACTCAGTAAACCTGACTTGGAAAAACTTTTACAAGAAACCAAGGTGTGATTAATGTGGACATCTAGCTAACTAATAGTTGTCGTGCGTCTGTTTAGTGATAGATCACAGATCTCTGAGGTGACGTCAAAATGTAGTAAGAACAAAAAACTGGCTCACGAGGCGATAGCCGAGTGTGTCACTGATGTTCTTCCCACATTTTGACGTCTTCTGTGATCTATTTTTGAACAGACGCACGGCAAAATGGAATCTACTTGTTTTACATAGTAAAGAATCAAGAAAGGATATTAATGACGTCATCTATGCGTCTGTCCTCCAGTAGATCATAAGTAAGAACTAATCAAAATGAGATTATAATTTGACTGACTATATAATTTATTTTACTGTTAGAAGTAACGTTTGCAATATTCTGTCGTTGAATTCAGGTTTTCATAGGTCTTGGGTTCCCGTATGAAGGACCGGCACCCCTTGAGGCCATCGCACAAGGATGTATTTTCCTAAATGCCAAGGTAACATGTGAGCTAGCAGTAAGGGGAAAATCCTGCGAAATCCAAATTACAGTGCGATGATCCACTGTTGTGCATAGGCATGACAGACATTTGAGGGGATCAGGGATGGCGCAGTGGTGAGAGCGCTCACCTCTCGTCAATGCGGCCCGGGTTCGATTCCAGCCCGGTGTTATATGTGGGTTGAATTTGTTGTTGGTTCTCGCCTTGCTCCGAGGATTTTCCTTCGGTTCTCCGGTTTTCCTCCCTTCACATAAACCAACATCTCCAAATTCCAATTCGACCAGGATAGAGTCCCCGCATGAAAACCAGTTAAGGCTTCCTATCTAAATATTGTAATTTATTTTGGCCTGGCAGGGCCAAAATACCCTTGAAATTGTTGTTATTGAACGAGCTGGAGGCCCCGATTAAGAGTTCTTCTTTGTTGGCGTAGAAACTCGACTCCCCCATCCTCTCCAGCTCCTTCCCCCAGTGACACGATGATAAACGTTACAACGGGCTTTCTTCACCCATCGTTTCCGTCCCTTAATTCATAAGTGATTCTCGCACAGAAAATCTGTTTTTTCGCTTCTTGCAGTTTGACCCTCCTCATAATCGCCTTAACACAGAATTCTTCAAGATAAAGCCCACACTGAGGAAGGTAAGTGATAGCTGTTTGGTGGTTAGTAGTTTTCAAAGTCCAGACTTAACTTATTTGGCGCAAAATCGATTGGATCTTAACCGGCTGGTTAAGGCCTTAGCCCTGGTGACGCGTTCCGTCACGAGTGTTCGTTATGGAAGAAGATTACGTGATGAGCCCAAAAAGCACATGCGCAGGAGGCTATTCTGAAGTGCTCTCGCCCCCTAAGCCCGTGCGTGTCAGAAGTGGCCGAACGCGCGACGATGTGGGCGCAACCAAAAACCGGAAACAGAAAATCCTGGAGATAGTAACCGCTGTAACTAATGCTGGCTCTACGGTCTCGAGTTTTTGGTCCCAACCAAAAAGGTGTGGTTTCTGGAAACGAGATAGTCGGTGGAATCTGGACAACAATCGTCTCTGAATTTCGTAATTGTATTTTTTTTTTGTTCTCGTTGTCAACAGTTAACATCACAGCATCCTTATGCAGAGGTGTTTATTGGAAAACCTCACGTGTTCACTGTTGATATTGATAACCTTACTCTTGTGGAGGAGGCCATTAAAGAGATTTTAAACACTGAGGTAAGTGTGCTCAGTCGAGAGTGAAGTCTAATTTCAGTGTACGTCGCCCTCTTTAAAGGAGTTAAGTCATGGTTTTCGCGTCTAAATAGCCTAAATTTTTCAAGCATGTCGTTTGTAATCCGAGTCAATCTTCTCCATCCTTAACCATCCTTGTTCCTCTATGGTTTATCATTATCTCTCTGCTGTTTTTCTGTCTTATTAAAATATTATGTTCAGGTTTCTTTCTATTTAAATGTAATTTTGTACATAAAATAACTCAAAATAACGTGACTGAGCTCCTTTAAGTGACCTGACCATGGATTGTAATTCAAGTTCCAGAGAACTCGCTGAAATCACTCGACTGTGTTTCGGTATCTCGTTTCATATTATGTCTACTACAGAGCCGGGAAACACAATTTTTACTCCACCTAACACTAGTTTATGTAATGTGACCACATGTATGGTGTCCAATTTGAAAATAATGGGATGAAAAAAAAAATAAAAAAATACCGAGAACTTTGCCCGTCAGAGATTAATTTTGAAACCGTTATTTCCACCTTAGACTAGGATGCAGTCCAAATTACGTGTTGTGGCATTTTGCGCTGACCATGTTAAATTTTATCGGGAAAACTCGAAGAAACCGAGGGTAACTATCAGGAGAAACAAGCACATCTAAAGGGTGGGGGGGAGGGGAAGGAGGGAGGGGCAGAAATTCTCGTGGTCCTTTCAAGCTATAGAACGAGAGTGAAATGCCTGTAGTGCTGTCTGTCTCATTGTCTTATTTATTCATGATTGTCTTGAAGGTGAAGCCTTATCTTCCTCATGAATGGACGCCTAAAGGAATGCTGGAGCGTGTGAATGCTTTCAGCGAGTACTATGTAAGTGCTGTTAGTCTCCTAANTCTTATTTATTCATGATTGTCTTGAAGGTGAAGCCTTATCTTCCTCATGAATGGACGCCTAAAGGAATGCTGGAGCGTGTGAATGCTTTCAGCGAGTACTATGTAAGTGCTGTTAGTCTCCTAAGTATGAAGGCTTGTTTATTTGGAGAAAAATTCTCCCTCCCTGAGCCATCTGTCATCTGATCGAGCGTAAATCCCGCTATACATAAATAGGAAAAGTTGTCCCTGTTGACCGAGCCAAAAATTTGCTCTTCTGGTCTCGCGCATGTCCTATATACCCCGACTTGTCCTTAGTAAGCAAGCCATCTACTTTGTCTCCAAAGTGTTTACGAGGGAAAAAAATTGGTTCGCCCTCCAGGGCCTTCATACCTTGAAAGCGAGTGATCCTCCACACAGGATCACCCTGATTCTCGAGTTAGCTTCTTGAGTTTTCTTGTATGGAATGTCCACTCACGCGGGGTGAAACGGTATGGAGAGTGACCCACCGACAGAGACAACTTCTCTTCATATAAACGTGCGCTTATTTCGCCTGTTAGAGAATATACAACTGTTTTGGTTTTGTTTGTTTGTGTGTTCCTTTCTGATGTATTAGGGCTAGTAGCCTTGTCAAAATGTGTGCGATGAGATGAAGTTCAAGTTCGTATTTTCTTGTCATCAAGTAATATCCTTGAAACTTTCTATTGGAAAAATCTATCACTTCTTTGCAGGACTTTTGCGAACACAGCGAGAGGTGGCCTCCATTGTCCGAAATGCAGCTGTTTATGGGTGAGGCTGGCAAGTCATGCGTGGAAGTTTGTAAACTGTCTGGTAAGTTTTATTTATGCGTTTTTAAATTATATGTAATTTTTCTGTTTCGTGGAGTAATATATCCTATTATTAAAAACTGAATCATTGGATAATGAAGTTGGTGAGTTTTCATTGGCTTAGCCATCATGGGCGATGGGTTATGAGCCATTATACCGTGCTCTAAGAACATGGTAACTGAACACGTGATGTTTTGGGGCGTTTATATTTTTTGGTTTTGTTTGCTATAATTTTTTAATAAAACACTCGTGCTTGTTGGATATGAGATGGTTATGGCCAACTCGGCGCTATGCGCCTCGTTGGTTATCTACCATCTCATATCCAACGCGCGCTCGTGGAATAATTGTTGATTAGAATTCAATTATAGGTGGTGTCATGGGGAGCACATGCTTTTGTTCGCTCGCTACATAGAGGACTTTTTTGAGTGCTAATGAAGTTGTCCTTCACGTTTACACAATAGCTTCCATAATTGATGTTTTTATTTTCTTATCGCGTTTAAGGTCTCCTGTGTGAACCAACCTACTTTGTTGATGTCAACAGTGCGAAGGATTTGGAAAAGTAAGTTCTTTGAAAAAATTGTTGTGGAAACATAAGAAATCGAGGTAAACCTGATGAGATGTGGGGAAAGAGGAAAACTTCTTTTCTAGGCCAGGAAATCCCCAGCTGGCAGACTGCCTGGGGTAACCTGGCAATGGATTAGTATCCCAACAGGTGGACTGAGGTATGGCAACACTCCTAGCTGCTTCAAGCTGTGAAAACGGGGTAGGGATGTGGCCCAAGTACCTTGCCCCATTTCGTCTCGTTTTGTTTTGCCTTACGGGTACCTCACCGTACAAAAATGTTCCTTACTTTACCTTGCAAATGTATTTCCTCGTCTTACCTAACCCTACTCCACCCCAACCTACTCTGCTTCACCCTATTCTACCCCACCCTACCCTACCGTACCTTGCCGTACCCTACCGTACCCTACCCACCCGACCCCACCCTACCTCACCCTACCGTACCGTACCCTACCTCGCCTTACCTAACATGCATGTTTCCTTTCACCCAGGGCGGGAGTCAAGTGCGAGTCTGTACAAACCGAGGAATCCCTCTTGGCACCTAGCTATAACACGTCGACGTATCTGTGCACGTTACAGAAACAGCCTGTCCTCTTCAGCTGCGTCGCCAAGGGACCGCAGCTCAGGCGACTGTGTCCGTGCAGGGATTTCCAAACTCAACAGGTCGCGTTTTGCAAAAAGTGCCACTAGAAACGAGCAGAGGAAAACAGCACACGCGCACATGCTGCCGAACGGGCAAGTGGCAAGAGTTGGTGCCATCTCATCCCGGGTCGGGTTTGGATCTGGAATCCCTTGGGATGCTGATCTCGTATCCCCATTGTTCAAGTAGTTTAATCCCGTTTCCCCGAGTTCGGATGCCTCACACGAGTCATGCGAGTCAAATTCGCGTACGTAAATCGTTACTAACGACACCACACTTATTTGTAAACCTTGTGGTGGAAAGAAACATTAGACCTCCCTCTCAATTTCAATTCCCCCCTCCTTAATACCCCCCTCTCACACTTCTATTGAAGTCCCCCTAAGAGAACACCATATTTACTCTAGAGAGCTCGGTTATATTTCGGTTTTGAACTTTCTTGTCAATGTAATGGCTAATTTGAAAGATTGCACGGCCGAATTGCACTAGTCGTTCCAGCGAGGGCAGAATATGAAGAATTGTAGGGTAGGAAGCTTTTTTATGAAGGGAGTTGTTCTTCTGATTTGATCAAATCCTCCCAGCGGAAAGGAACGGGGAAGGGGGGGGGNGGTGGAGGGGAAAGGGGAGGAAAACTGGGGTAAAAGAGGGGATGTCTTTTAGAGCAGTTTTCAACAAGAGTAGATTAACGCAACTTGGTAACGTTTTCGTTGGTAGCTATTTTACAATTGCCAGATTAGTTTCGATAAGTTGTAGTTTATAAACGAAGACCTTATGATAAGCATTGAATTCAATTTAACAGCAGTTTGTATGACGCTTAAACGCTTAATTTCGTTAGGTTTACTATTTGTATCAAGCTAATTGGATATTAATTAGGTCCGAGTCTCGAGAATAAACTCGACTTTTTCACTGTCGTTTGAGCGTTTCATTAAGATACAGAAAAGTTGTAATAATATATTGCATTGTAAATATTATTGCATGGAAACATTCCAAAGACCAAAAATTAATTACAGACAATGATATTCTACGTTAATTAATTTTATGCAATAGTTAGATCGATTATCAAGTTGTCTTATAATAAAGTTGTTTTGTAATTAAAAAGTTATATATTATCTGCCATGCTCTTCAAAACAACGTCAAACAACGACGGCTAATATATGTATTTTTAAAATTTCTCTTTCGAGCTAAACGGAGCTACGTCACGGTTTGCGGATTTTGAAAAACTTAGCCTGAATTTTTCAAGTTTATCGTTTACAATCTGTGTCAATCTTCTCCATCCTTAACCCTCCTTGTTTTTATATGGTTTCTTATTATCCCTGGTGTTTTTCTATCTTGGTGAACCATTATTTTCAAATTTGCTTCAATTTAAAGATAATTTTGTACGTGGCCAAAATAACTAGCGTGACTGACTAAACAGACTGACTAAATAGCCTGACTGAGCTCCTTTAACGATGAGTTGCATGTTAAGTTTCGAAGTAGTTTTGACAGTAGAACTAAATTCTTGAGTAGAAACATTTATTTTTTTCATCCGCTTTGTCCTCAGCGTCGTTGCTACTTAAATTCTCTATAGCGCATTTGTTACGGCTCACTAGTTAACTTAAGTTATTTAACCAACCGTACAAGCGTAAGTGCACCCTCTAGTATTTATTTCCTCTTGTGTTACTTTTAGGACTTCGTCAAAAGAACGCCAATAAACGTAGCACTCTAAACTTCACTTTTGTAGTATGATTTTCTCTTTTTTCACCTCACATCTGCTGGTACTCTTACAAGTTTTACAGTTTTTTTTTTTTGATTTTCTGCTTCAAAACTGTCTGCTATGAATACTTATACAACATTTACGCTAATACAACCACATACAACATACATACACATACAGCCACACAAAGGATAACAAGAAGCTTAAGGAAGCTGAAAACTACGGTGACTTAGAAGGGTCATCGAAAGTATGTGTTTATTTTTTGTTTCAGCACTTAATAACTGTCGATCGACACTTATAACTGACACGAACGACACGACCGAGGTACGTAAGATTTTATTTAGCGTTGAAATTAGCTTTTAAAGGCGTAGAATCTTTGTTGAATATCATATTTTTGTTGCCATTTGTGAAATGTACATAGAAGCTGTACAATGTGTAGTTTCAAAGGATGAAAGAACTTTCCACAACGAGCAGAGCACGGACTATTCTGTGTTGTTGATGAGCAGGGACAAAAGTCGGACCGAATCTACTCGGATCGCTGATTTAAATAATAATAATAGCAATAATTGAATTGTTCCAGTCCGTACCTGGCAAAGTTCAAAATTTAAAATTTTTGCGTGTATTATGGCCTGGCCAACTGCCATAATACTCACATTGTATTTACCTTTCATTAGATGGCTGAACGGGCCATATCCTTAGCCTCGGATGAGAACCTTCGGCAACTTGGAATAGTTGCACAAGGTGATATACTTGCAGTAAGGGCATTTGCTACCACCCAGTTAAACAAGAGACCTCGTGTAGACTGTTGTAGTGAAGAAGGCCAAGACGAATCAAGAGAACAAAGGAAAAAATGTTAATTCAGAAACTAGTTCTTGGAAGAAAAAAGGTTGGTGGCAGAGGCTCAGCTAGTAGCAGCAAAGAAAGAAAGGGAAAAGCCCTGGGAGCACCATTGCCTAAAGTGAAGACAAGAAAGGTAAAGCTTGCTTAGCAACATTTTAACCAGGAAACAGAGCGATATGCTATGGTTCGAGAGAGCACAGGAGGAGGGCAGAAAGAGATGTCCATAGCAGTTACAGGTGACTATACTGAAATTCTCTACCTCCTGATCGACCTCTTTTTTTCCAGATGGAAAGAGTTCCAGAAGTCCATCATGTAAAATAGAGTTTTACCTGGCAAACTTTAGGTGTGAAGTTATTTGTGAAGATGACTTTACCCTGGGAAAGTACATCTGCACCAACAAAGTATCAAAGCCCGGACTGTATTTATTGTCAAAACTCAAAATAGACCCGACAGAGCTCAAGACATATGATGTAAAGGATGACCTGAACTTTTATAACTCAGCTTCCACTCCAAAACAGAATGATCAGTCAGTATGTTTAGAAGATGTTAATGGCAAAGATGAAAACGAGGTCATGACTGATCAACAAGAGAGTCACGGTCAGCATCATGTTCATGTGCAAGATTACCCAGATGAAAGTGATACTGAAGTTGTACTGAGAGGCTTTGGCTTAGTGGATAATAATGATTATTCCTTTCTGTTTGACGACGGAACTTTGCTGTTTTCTCTGTGAAAGACCTGGTTCTCGTAGAATCCGCTTTAACTGACTGATACTAAGGCAGATTCCATGGTATATACATAACGAGAAAGGCAAGGATTTCCACATAATTGATTCCCATACAAAAATATCTTTCCATCAGAGAATCACGATCACGGCCATGATTCTTCTGCTTTGGTCTAAAAAGTGAGGGTTCAAACAGTGCACTTCGCATTTTAAAATGCAAACAACCAACAGCTTTACAGAGATAGAAACCCTCTTGAAACAGTAAACGAATTCAATGAAAACAAAATTGAACAGCACCTGGAAGGAGCGAGCGAAGGAGTGACACTGGAGAGAACCATGCGACGAAAGCGTCCTGAAGAAATTCCCAAAACCTTCAAGGTAGGTTTTGTATCGATTTATACTTCATCAAATTCGTTGGCCAAAACCTTATTAACTAAATGTAGGTAACAAACAAGATGATAAAAGATACTTTTGAAGCTGATTTTCTCTCTCTAAAGCCTGTTTGAGCCAAATACTAGAGCTCTCAAAATTACCAATTTTTGCAATTTTTTGCAATTTGTCCCGTGTGTCTTCAGCACCCATGGCCAGAATATAGTTTTCCCCAAATTGATTTTATGATGTTTAGAAACGTCAATATCTGTGTAATCT